GCTCTTGTTTCTTCAGTATTCTGTTATTGAAAGAATTGATGTGGCTTCATGTCCCCATAAACCTAATCTCTGATTATTATTATTATTATTTGGAGGACGAGTGCCCTCAAGTCCTTCTGGACTCCTGGTGTCTGCCTGGACAAATCCCTGCAGCTTTCTTGGCAAGATTTCAGCAGTACTTTGCCATTGCTTTCTCCCTAGGACTGAGAGAAAGTATCTGGCCCAAGGTCACCCAGCTGCCTCTGTGCCTAAGGCAGGACTAGAACTTACAGTCTCCCAGTTTCTAGCCTAACTACTACACTGGGTTCTTAAGCCTAATCCATCATTCCTTTATTGTATGGTTTTATGTTCGCAAACTTTTTTTCCTCTAAAGTGCTTTGAGAGAAATACGTTGTAAAAGATCACTTAAAGGACATTATGAATTTCTAATGGGGAAAAAAATAGGATTCCCTGCATTTCTTTTAGAGTAAACTGCACATACAGGTTGGTTTTTAAAAATCTTCAGTGACGTTTTTTTTTTTTCCTTTTCCCATTTTCATAGTTTGTTTTTGTAAAAGCTAAATGAAGCCTTGAGAAGCTCAATGTTAAGTCTTAAGTGGTCAAGTGAGTTCATGGACGCACCCATGAAATTTTCCTAGTAATAAATATACAAGTGGTTTTCCTTTACCTTCATTTAATATTTTCTAACTTCCTGAAGTTGCCTATAGACCCGGAATTCCTTTGTAATCTCCCATCTAAGTACTATTCTTGTCTGACCCAGCATAGCTTTGAAACTCATGCAAGATTGGCAATATGATACTACTAACTGAGTTTTTTAAATCTTGAATTGCTTCCAAAGAATTCCACTGTTTTTACTGTGCTGATAAATTTGGCAAACATATACTACTAGTTAATTTACTATCATTTTTTATGTTTTGGTTGTTACAAAAATTCAAAAAATCACTTTATCTTACCATATGTATTGGAAAGCTTTTTTAAAAAAACTTGAAGAATCTTAGAAAATTTGTCAAAATTCAAAGAAAGAATCAAAACATATATTAATTTCTATGTCACACTGATAAATTCAGTAAGCCTCTTGGGAGTTCCTGGTTAATTACACCATGTAATAAATATGTCCATCCATGATGCTAGGAAGGGCTCCGTTTCTCTAAATTTTGTTTCAAGTGGGTGAGTCTGGATTTGCATCTTTTTTAGCTTCCACTTGTATTATTACAACCCCCATCTGATGATGGCTGCCTGATACAAAACCTTTCAAAAGATAACACTGATTAGAAATTAGAGCCAAAACTAGATTAGAATGGCAGATTACACCTCATTTTTCCTTTAATATAATGATTCAGACCACAAAATATAAAGAGAAAGGGTTGATGTTATATTCCTCCCTCCCAATGAAAATACTATTCGTATGAGAGAGATTTATATTGGCAGATAGAGGGGTCTTTGCTCTGACATGAAGAACAGAGTGCTGGGAATTTTTAATTATGATTGTATCATGGGCAAAGCCTGAGGTACAATCCCTCCCTCCCGATATTGTGATCCTGTTAGTATTGTTTAGAAAATGAAGAAAAGTACAGCTATATCAAACACAAAAATGAATGTTTGGATTTGCTACCAATTTCTGTCGCTTCATATGCCTCCCGCATTGTTTTGTAGAGTTCTCTTATATATAATTGCACTCTTATGATCAATCCAAGGTTTTGTTTTTTTTAAAGTGGCAAGAGAAATATCTCTGTACCATAAGGTTCAGGTCGGAATACAGTTTCAAACAAAACTAAGCAGGGTCATGCCTAACCTAGTACTTAGATGGGAGAGGTCCAGGGTAGACCCCATCTGAAAGTTCGACCGTGAAGCTTTAAAAAACACCCTGGAAAAATGCATTGTCAACCCATGTTCATGTTGTTACTAAAGAAATTGATTAGGCCATGTCAATCAAACTCCACTCCAGAGCCCCAGTGCTAAACTAGTACAGGCCCCAATTTGTTACGGGGAATACTCAGCACGGACAGGAATTCAGCCCAGTGAATTTAGAAGGAAAGAGGGCAAACCAGCCATTGACCTTTCAACATAAAATGTATAATGCCTTCATAAAGTTCAACTCGCACTGTGTTATGACTATGAAAAAGGTCAGAATTCTGATCTTTATACTCATTTGCACTAAATTTCATCATCCTGGTACTTAGTGATCTTGGCTAGAAACATCCTAGAACGATTTCATTTGAGATAACCAATCGTTCACCTATTGCAGACCATGTCCATAAAAGTCTTCCCTGTCCTTTGGTCAAAGGTAGCAACTGAGGTTATTCAGTGACATCTTCCAGTTTAATCATTTACCGCTCTTTTCAGAACTATAAATAGTGCTTGAAATGGTCAAAAAGCATTATATCAATGCAGAACCTTTGATAATAATATATTGTTTTAATTTTGTTTCTTTCATTCTGAGACCTCCTACCTATTGTTTTCTATTGTTGTTTTTCAAAGATTCACAAACTCAATCATTATAATTGGTATCCACCAAGTCACCTCACTATCATGATTATTGAAAGCACAGACACTCAAAATTTGATGACCAGGGCACCTACTTGTAGAAACTATGCCATGCTTTGTGAGCACTACTTGTTATTCTATACAGCTGCAAATTATATATTTAATAATATAGAATATCAATAAAAGAGAATATTTGTAACTCAGGGTTGAGATGAGGGGTCCTTGGTGCCCTCTGAGCTTGTTTGTTTTCTTGCAGATGTTTCATTACCCTATCTAGGTAACATCATTAGTGACTGGCACTGGTGCTAGCATTATAAAAGTGTTTAATTTTTAAGAATGATACCATATTCATACATTATTGAGTCCTTGGTGCTCCCTGAGTTTGCTTGTTTTCTTGCAAACGTTTCATTCCCCTGATGATGTTACCTAGTTTGGGTGATGAAACATCTGTAAGAAAACAAGCAAGCTCAGAGAACATCAAGGACTCCTCAATAATATATAGCAATAGCAATAGCACTTAGACTTATATACCGCTTCATAATGCTTTACAGCCCTCTTAAGTGGTTTACGGAGTTAGCAATTTGTCCCCAACAATCTGTGTCCTCATTTTATCAACCTCGAAGGAAGGCTGAGTCAACCTTGAGCTTGGTGAGATTTGAACTGCTGAACTCCTGGCAGCCGGCAGTCAGCAGAAGTAGCCTGCAGTAGTGCATATTCTAACCACTGCGCCACCAAGGCTCTCCATATGAATATGGCTTCATCCTTAAAAAATAAAAAAATTTATAATTGGGTAAAATTTATCTTCTTTAGCATCATCTACAATAAATAGTACAATTTAATGTACGTATCATTTTGATATAGTTGTGTCAGTCATACGTTCTTCCATATAAATTAATCCAGACTATATCTGGGTGGAAATCTATAATTTTATTAAGGAGGCAAAAAAACCCGATCTAAACTGCTTCAGAACTTTTGAGGGTAAAAGTCTGTAAATAAAATAAAAATTACTTGGGATAACTGAGACTAGAAATAAGAGACTACACTATTCTAGAGACTAGAAGTAAACAATGCAAATGTTTCATATATCTGAAAGTGTCACTTCCAGCACTTGATGAAAAGTAGACCTAGCAGTTCTATTTTACAAGTGATATTTTGTTCATTACTCAATGAAGCATGTGACCTAGTTTTTCTCCTCTACGAAGCATGAAACTAAAATCTAATGATTTTCCCTCTGTCGATTCTGTGTGGAGCCTATAAAGCTGCTTTTGTGCTGTTAATTATTTTAAGAAGAAAAGAATTATGCTGATGTTGCTTTTAAAATGTCATTCTTTCTCATCTAATGAATTGATTCTTGCCAGAAGTGACCCAAAGAGGTAGCTTTTAAAAAGTATGTATCTTATTTCGTATTAACCTCTTTAGCTTTATAAAATTGGGTTAATAGCTTTGATGAAAAATGCATTTCCTATTTTCCTTACAAGCTGCCATTCTAAAGGAAAATATTTTTTTCCCTTTGTAGTGCCCACCAGACCGTGTTTTTGTCAGTATCATCTCCAGAATGTTTATAACTCATATCTGAGATCTCTTCTGTTCACTTCCAAAATATGAAGCCTTCTTCTTCTGTATTAAGCCTCACCTTGCATTGGCCTAGAAAGGGCTCTCTTAACATATAAGTGCCTTTTTTAGAAATCTGAGAAACCTCCATGGATGGTGTGGATGGTCAAAAGATAAGTCACTCGCCCAAGAAGATTCTGTACACAATACAATCAAAGGCGTGTAAACGTGGATGTAGTCCCATTTAACTGTGGGGTTTACATTGGTGTAAAATGCCTGTCGGTGTGTACTGCATCTTGTATCCAGCTTTTCTGTTCATTCTTGCTTGGGCAAAGACAAAAGAAGGCAGGGTGGCTTTAACAGTTGAGTAGAGAATGGAATTTCAGCAGGTCATGTTGTAAACTACACTTGATGGATTTCTTTTTTTTCTTCACAACTAATAAAACACAGGAGTCCTTCTTCTTTGCATCCAGCCTCCAGCCTCACTCATTCTGGCCATTTCCTGCCTTTGTGGATTCTCCTTTCTTCCTAAGGCTAGAATCATAAACACACTTCCCTGGGAAACAGCCCCATTCAACCCAATGAACTTAATTCTATTTGGACTTGAGTGGAGAGTTCTCAATATCCACCTCAGTTCATCCCACCTCTCTCTCTCTTTTACAGATTTATGTAATCCGCACAAAAACACAGAACGAAAGAGAGAGACATCCTTTAAACTCTCTAGTCCTACAGGGAAGGGGAAGGGAAGGAAGAGCATTACAATGGCTCTTTTCCTGAAAGGATCCCTACACTTCTGGGTGCTAGTCGCATGGTTTGTCTGTTACATCTCCATCTTTCTTGTGCCTCTCTACTTTTTCAGGGTTAACTTCCTTCGATGGGCGAAAGTGTAAAATAAATGCCAGGATGTAAAAGGAAAATACATGCAGGGTTTCACTTCAGTCTGTGTTTTGTGTCCCTGTTGCCAGGTCAAAACTGAAATCAGTGTAGAAAGCAAACATCAGACTCTCCAAGGCCTGGCCTTCCCTTTGCAGCCAGATGCACAACAAGCCATTCAGCTACTAAAGCAGAAGAAAATCAATTACATCCAGCTGGTAAGGGATTCTTTGGGGGCGGGGGGAGGGTGCTTTCAGTTTAATTGTCCCAGGTTTTGCTGGTTGCTGTGCATGCTCTGCTTGCACAAGTTGCGCTGTTGGAGTTTCCGTCTCATTGTTATATGTTTGTTTCCTCTTGCCTTTGTTTCAACAGAAGCTGAACCTGGAGCAGGAGACCATAGAGCTGGTCCACACAAAGGCCACAGAAATTGCTGACCTGCCTAGAAGAATTCCTCAGGATTCTGCTCGCTACCACTTCTTTCTGTATAAACACTCTCATGAGGGAGATTATCTGGAGTCAGTAGGTAAGCCGTAACCAAATCTACAGCCCAGGAAAGATTGCACTCCTCCCTTTGGACACGGAGTGGGTATTTTCATTACCCTCTAGAATGGTGTGGCCATCTGGGGAGGGAGTTTAAAACCTCTATGGTGGATTCCTTATCCAAGCGCCCTCAGTAATTGCAGTAGGTGAATCTCCTGGCACCCCCAATCTGGCTGGCTGGGAAGTTCCTTCACCTCTCTACCTAAGACTGATCTCTTCCGCCCAGCTCTGGAAAAACTCAAAAGAAGGATATTCCTACACACAGCCCAGAAATGCAGTGCAAAACTAAACAACTTCCTCTCAAAGGTGCTCTTTTCAAAAGAGAACTGGACACTCTCTCTCTCTCTCTCTCTCTCTCTCTCTCTCTCTCTCTGTGTGTGTGTGTGTGTGTGTGTGTGTGTGCATATATATATTCCCTTGAAGGAAGAAGAAGTTTTGAGATATCTTTTTCCTCAAGGAGAAAAACATAATCCAGTTGTCCTTTGAAAAGAGCGCCTTTGAGACAACCATGACCTGAATGACTGAGAATCTCCATAACATGTAAACAACTTCATGCCAGTCCTAAAACAAAAGAGAGACTTGAATTCATAGCCCAGCTTGGGGACAGTTTTAATGAGAAATGCGTTTTTAAAATCAATGCCCAATTCATGTGCAACAGACTTTAGATATAACAAGAATTAGTATCATTTCATCCGTGTAATATATGAACAGTATACAAATGCAACTGTGTTTTATTTGTTTTGTCACATGCTACTGTCATTATTTCAACATGGGTTAGTGGAATTAATTTTACAAGGGCCCAGGAATGCCTAATCTTCTTTTTTCTTTCTCCTAGTGTTTATCTACTCCATGCCTGGTTACAAATGTAGCATCAAAGAGCGCATGCTGTATTCCAGCTGCAAGAGCCGATTGCTTGACTCCATAGAGCAAGATTTCTGCCTAGAAATTGCAAAGAAGGTAAGACTTTTGTCCTCTGGATTCATAAGCATCTGGAAGAAAAACCAATTCTCTTCCATTGTAAGCAGACTTTTAGAGTTTTAGCCAGTATGAAAGAGGGAGATATGGGGGATCTGAAGATTGAAGCAACCAGAGGTTGTTGGAAGGACATGCTAGAAACAGGTGCCCCCACAGCACGGACAACATGAAAAGTAAGATAAGACTTTAATGAACTCCTCTCTAAAGAGAATAAGAAATGTTCAAGTCCTGGAAATAAAACCAAAACAAGTTTAGAAATGGCCTTGTGAAGTAGGAGCGGAGCGGAGTAGAAGATGGAAAGCTATGAGGGAAGAGAAATATAATGGAATACCGTTACTGAGAAGAAAATCCCAACCACAGTTGGCTTTCAGGTTCTCAGTGGCCAGATCTAAGACTACTTTTCCTTTCTCCTTTGTATCAGATTGAAATTGATGATGGAGCTGAGCTGACCGCTGAGTTCCTGTATGATGAGGTCCACCCCAAGCAGCATGCCTTCAAGCAGGCTTTTGCCAAGCCAAAGGGTCCTGTGGGCAAAAGGGGACAGAAGCGACTTATCAAAGGACCAGGCGAGAACGGAGAAGACAGTTAAACCCAGAGGATGGGTCAGCAAAGAGCTGTGAATGTCTCCCAGCCTCCAGCGTTGCAGCTCCAATCCACTTCTCTGCATTTGAGCCTGTCCACTGAACTCCAGAGCCTTTTCCCTACTTCTTTTCTCAAAGTCATGTCCATCGGTTTCATTAACAGGGTGGGAGGGTTGGAATCGGGGGACAGAGAGGAAGAGGAAGAAGACGGCATGCTCTTTTTTCTTTCCTTTTGCTCTATGGTGATATAAATCTAGGGGGAAAGGGGTACCGTAGAGCTTTTTGTTCTTTTTTTTTATATATATATTTCTTACAACAGATGCTCCTGTTATTGCTTCATCTTGTGGCCTGTTTTGCCTGGAATCTGCACCACTCAATGAGTTTTGTATGCCTCTCATCTGAAAGAGTTATGAACTTCTATCTTGGGTGCTGTGTGAACCCATCAAAGAGAGGCACTGTGTGTATGGTAACAGTAACTTAACGGCACTCCCATCCTGTCAATGTCATTCCCTTACCAAGGGAGTCTGTTTCCCTAGTATCTGATACAGTGATCAGTTGCTTACTTGGTTGAGGCAAAGAGCAGTATGTTCCACAGATTGTTTTTGAAGTAGGGTGGAATGGAGGGGATGGGGATAGTGCTAAAAAAAATAGTCAGATTTCCTCCAAAAATAGAAGTGTGTTGTTTGGATTTTAAGAAACTGTTTCCCAAGCTACCGAAGAAGTAAAACTCTCATTTCGCTCAAGAGTCCTGATAATCTCATTCTAGGCCTCATGTTTGTGGGGAAAAAAATACCCATCGCAAGTCTAGTGATGGGTTGGATTTCTCTTAAAAAGATGTTCTGCTTCCTTTCTGATTTGCAGAAAGCCAATAGCCTCTCTTTCTTCCCTGCCTTATGTCTTGATGGCTCATTGTGTGATGTTGCAGCCTAGGATAGACATATGGGCGATTAGGAACTGGGAGCATAATTGTCATACTGCCCTTATTGGCATCATTTCCACTGAACTACATCAAGATGGCCAGAATGGCTTCATGGGTAGCTCTCATATGCTTTCCCAAGTCGGGCTTTCCTCATGTGCTAGCTTGCAGCCCAACACAGCATTGATTTAACTGAGATCATCTTCTGACTTAACTGAGAAAGTAGAGTCCTTCCTGATCTGTTTTTTGCTTGTTTTTTGCCCATCCACGCTGAGCATCTAAAATAAAGTCGCTTGGTCTTTGGTCATCTCATATATACTCAATTTTTTGTCCTCATCCTAGATCAGAGGCCTCTGAGAGTTGAAGTCCACAAGTCTTAAAGGTGCCAAGTTTGGGGACCTCTGTCCTAGATCATGATCCCCAAACCATTGCATCCCCTTGTCATAGATCTTTAGTTATGTTATAGAGCTTTGCAAGGCCAGAGGAACATTAGCACATTCATTGATCGCTGAATGCTGATGGGCTCTATTTTTCACAGAATGTACTTTGCCCAGAGAACTGTTCATTCCATGTGTTAGATACAGTCTGCCAAGGCTAATAGTTTTAGATCCATGAAAACCAGGTGGAAAGAAAGGGATAGCCCATGGCATGAAATTGTTACCCATGTACGTGATGGATGGGCATTTGAACTGCCAAGGACTCTGGGAAGAGTCTTGATGATCAGCTTAGAAGACCACGATCTACTCACAAAAAGCTAGAGACACAATTGTGACCTTAGGATTGGGAGCTTCTGAAAAATCATTAGAGCAGGTGAAGTTGATATACATAATGAAAGTTCCTATGACCCCCAAGGAGCAGTTTATTGGCCTTTTATATGTCGTGCAAGCAGACAATTCTCTCTGAAATTGCAAGCCTTCCCCCCCAGCCCATAGCCCATAGTATGGTATTAGTATGGTGGCTTGAGTAGAGTAGTATTTGTGTAAGAACAAGCCTGGATGTGCTCTAGGTCACTCCCCGGTGGGACTGATCTGCCATTTAAGAAAGAAAGGGTAGGCTTTGCCAAATTCCAAGTATTCTGTATGGAGAGAAAAAAAAACGGAATCACAGATTCTAAAAAGAAAATAGAATCACAGATTCTTAAAATAAGACAAAATTCAGACATTCAGATCCAATCCCCTCCTCACTACAAGAATCCAGATGAAAATGTCTGTGATGGAAGTGGTGGTATGCGCGCCATCATTTCATGGATGGGGAAAAGTCTAAATGTTAAGTTTTCCTGATTTTTTTTTTTAAACTGCTCATCTTTTGCATCTTAGGTTTATTGGGAGTCCTTGGAACAGATGTCTTTATAATTGAAGTCTCTGTAGAGTTTAGAAATAAACATATATTGCATCCAGTATATAATTCTAAGATAATAATTAAATTCAAAGTTTGTCCTAAAACATGTTCAGGCAGCAAGATTCTGCTTTAAATAGGAATAATGCAGGGATCAGCAACTGAAACACAAAATTACAGCATAACACTGGTCAATGTACAACATTTCAATTTTGTTTGTTTTTTAAAAAAATGGGTGGTTCTTTGGACCTTTTGAAGGCTCTATATTGCTGATCTTTGGCACAATGATTTCTTTAAATACTTTATTTTTACTGTGACCAAATTTCAATCAGCTTAGCTAAATCTAGAGATTATGATGATGTTCCATAATATTTGGATTTGGACCTCTGCATTTTCTGCATCATATATGCAGAGATAACTTTGCTACTTTTATTTTAAGTTTTTGTTGAGAGTGCTACACTCTTGTAATAATACGATTTATCATTTTACCCTTTTGCCCCTAGGCAAATTTTATATTAAATTTGTCCTGTATGTTTTGTTCCATGTATAGCATTCTCCCCACCAATAAGAGGCAGCATACCTTTTTTGGTCCCTACTATATTTTGATGCAGAAAAACAAATATTTGCCATTCCAAAACTGATAACAGCTATTATTCTGATCCTGAACTCATATTTCCTTGGGTTCAGGATGAGATATTAAGCACACTTGGATGACTATGGTTGGCATTTTCCTTGTTTTCACTAAATGCATTAATTAATCCTTGTGATTCAAACAAATGGAGCAGAAAAGCAAGCAAGCAAGCACTGCCTTTGTTTTACATCTTTTACTCTACCAAATTAGTCTGAAATGATCCGTTTGTGGTATTAATGCCAAATATCACCGTGCAATGATGGTGGATCAGTCAGTACTCTCAAGTGCGTGACCAGTGGTTAAATGAGGACTGATCAGAACTTCCGTCAAGGAAAGAAGGCAAACAGCCTGCTTTCCAAGCTGACCTTCCACAACTCGCCCTTTCTCCTTCCCAATGCAACACAGGGAGTCACTCAGCCTTGCAAAGAGCTGCTTCTCAGCTGCCTTGTCTGATCTTAGCAGCTGCTGCACATTGTGCATACTCATATTGCTGGTGAATCCCTTTTCTTATTTGTTGACTGGAAGACCAATAAAATCAGTTACGCCCTGTGTGAATCACAGGGATCTGTCTACTCTTATCAAAACCGACTCTTCTCCCACCCTCGTCCTATTTTCTGATCCAGTCTTAACAAGTATTCCAGGGTAGGGAGTCTCAATATTCAACTAGACTCCAGAACTCTGTTTTCCTTGCGATTATGTGATCTTACAAACTTACCACCAACACGCTTGCCAAGTAAGCAAAAAAGTTCTACAAAAATGTAGAAATGACTCCCCATCCTGGAATCGTCTCCGTACCTATTAGCTTGGATCAGAATGTATCTTGCTATTTATATCCAGGATGAACACTTAATCAAAACTTCTATTAGATCTGACTAATACTACCAAATATTGAGTGATTGCAAGAACATAACATCTCATCATAGAAATAAAGTTTTGTAGGAGTCCCAAAATATTTTTTTAAGAATTATGTTTACAAGTAAGACCTTGCTAATACTCTTAATAACTATATTCCTTCCTGTGTGCCCACAATTGAAATGACAGTAGCTTTACGCTGACGTCTCTAACACACTAAAAGAATGTCTTAATTGACTACATGGTTAACACTGTAAGTAGTTTTCATTGGCCATTGCATTTAACTCGCTGCAGATGAAAAGCAAGCTAGGAGTGATTGTTTCTTTATCCATGCTAGTAATTTATCAAATCTTCCATAAGAATCAAGGTTTGGAGTTTGGGAGATGCACATTCCTGACTGGGCTATATGATGATGTAAATTTGGAAATTATGGGGGAGGCAGGGCATACTGTTTTGAATGCTGTATTTTCTAAAAATTAAAGTATTTTTAAAGCAACCTGTTTTGAGTATTTCTTTAGTAGACTGAGATGTCTGTGGATACAGTTGGCCATTCTCTTTATAAACAGCTATGATAAATTTTATGTCCCAGGAATTCATGGAAACTATTGTTACAAAGTGGTTGGAATTACCTTGTGAGGCCAGGCGGTTTGATATTCATCATGTGATTGTAAAAGAGGTCATGTCTGCAGATCTGCAATAAACCATGGATTTCCCCCTATTTTTGCACACTACATATATATAGGCTGCATTAGTGTGTTCACATCTATTCAAGGCCCTATCTTGGTTTGGTTATCAAGGATACCAAGATCGGTTTTACTCTCCAGGAACAAACATTGTTCCTTTGTTTTTATTTATTTATTTATTTTAGGACATTTATATTGCCTCCTATTCGCATACGGCAACTCAAGGCGGCTTACAGTATTTCGGCCAAAATACTGAAATCAAATCTGTAAACAGAATGTTGATTCTTAAATATCCAGCAAGGAGCGCTTCATTGCTGGCATTGTTAGCATACACAAACCAAAAGCCAAATTTTATGTAGAGTAACAGACTTGGAAGGGACCTCGGAGGTTTGCTAGTCCAACCCGCTGCTCAAGCAGGAGCCCCTATACCAGGTGTCAGCTTTGGAATCCTTATTCATCGCTGCAACATAGTCTGAGAAAGTGGGAGGGGGTGATTTTTGAGTAGCTCTAAGTAGACAAAATAGAATTCTTTTGTTAGTTCAAGGTCACGGAGTGTGGCGCAGAAATGAAAAGGAACTTTGGGATTGGTTCATGTGAGGTGATGATGAGAGAAAAGGGGATGGTTTGTAGTTTGGGACATTGTGGGAAGTCCAGGAAACTTTTAGTTTTGAAATTCCACAGATGTGCCAGGTGCTATTCTAATAAAGGTACTCTTGAGATTATGCTTGTCTCGGAGTTACTGATTGGAATGGAGGTTCCCTGGAATGCTGACACCAGGGGTGTCAAACTCATGGTGTCACATGAAGCATCACAACTCCCTCCCCCCACCTGTTATCTAAACCGGGTGTGGCTAGCGTTTGATGCATCCGGCCCACAGGCCACAAGTTTGACACCCCTGCCTTATACCATTCTGGATAAATGTCTCTCTTCTTGAAAACCTCCAGTGAGGGAGCACCCACAACTTCTGAAGGCAAACTCTTACACTCGATGGGATTCAAAAAATTTTTACTACTGGTTCTGTGGGCGAGGCTTGGTGGGCGTGGCAGGGGAAAGATATGGTAAACTCTCCAGTCAAAGGTGGTATTTGCTGGTTCTCCTAACTTCTCAAAATTTCCACTACCGGTTCTTCAGAACTGGTCAGAACCTGCTGAATATCACCTCTGGTTACACTGATTTAATTGTTCTCATTGTCTGGAATTTTCTCCTTATTTTTTTTGTTTGATGTCTCCTTGATAGTTTCCATCCATTGCTTCTTGCGGTGTTTCTCTCAGGTGCTTGGAGAATAGATTGGAGCCATCTTCTGTGACAGTTCCTCAAATATTAGAAGACTGCTATCATGACATCCCTAGTCCTTCGGCATTCCAGATATACCTAATTCCTGAAAATTGTTCATGTTTTAGCCTCCAGTCCTCTAATCATTGTTTTCCACGCTCTAGATTGCAAATTTTTTTTTTATATCATGTTGACCAAAGCTGGAGACAATATTCCAAATGTGGTCTTACCAAAGCAGTACAAGTGATAGTAACACTTCTCATAATCTTGATACTATCCCTTTGAGGTGTTAATAACATGTTCAGTTAATTTCATTTGATTATGACTTACTGACAAATATATTTCAAGTACAGGTTTAAAACAGTGCTGGGATTCAAAAAAATTTACTACCAGTTCTGTGGGCATGGCTTGTGGACGTGGCAGGGGAAGGATACTGTAAAATCTCCAGTCAGAGATGATATTTGCCGGTTCTCCGAACTACTCAAAATTTCCACTAACGGTTCTCCAGAACTGGTCAGAACCTGCTGAATACCACCTCTGTTTTAAAAATGTCTTGTGTGCCAAGAAAGATGATATTTGCCAGTTCTCCGAACTACTCAAAATTTCCACTAACGGTTCTCCAGAACTGGTCAGAACCTGCTGAATACCACCTCTGTTTTAAAAATGTCTTGTGTGCCAAGAAAGATGTCTAATTTGCAGCTGAAATATAGCGAAGGCAATATTTATGCTGAATTTCAAAGCTGTGTAAGTTGCCCTTTTAAAGCATGGCACTATCTGGTCCTGAATACTAAAGACACATTTTGATCCATTCGTTTCTTCTTTCTGTGTATCAAATGTCATCACAACTTAATGATGGATTCAATTCAGTGTTCACAGCTGGTTCTCACACATTTTGGGGAAATAAGATAAACAAGAACCTCAAGCTATAATTCCCCCAAAGAATCACAAAAATATC